TGGAGTTACTTGAGGGCAAGAAACCAAACCAATTTTTGCTACTATTGCCATGTTTATATTTCTTCATGACATTCAAGGTCGACACGTTTTGAGATTGATCTTGACACCCACTAAAACATAAAAAGAAATATTCATTTATGGATGAAAATGTGTTCAATTTGTTCAGATGTTACCACTGAATAGCTCTTGAGTCATTTTCAATGGCAGGTTGGATTTAAAGGGAGGGCGGGTTGGGGGGGCGAAGAGCAGAAAATGAAGACTCCGAATGCGTTTGCAAAATACAGTCGTGTCATTCGTGGAAAAAAAAAATATGATGAGGAATGTCGAGAATTTATGAGCCTTTCATCGCTTCGCCATTCATGTTTGCTTTCGCCGCATGCGAGCGCGCACACACACACGCACACACAAAAAGATGGACCGACTATCTTTTGTGCTGCGCCGTGAAGACTGCAAAATGCCATCGCTCCGGTGCAGTCAAGGCACAGGTGGCTTATTGTTCTCTCCGCTCTCGTCACTTTCGGGTGTGACTGGAGGGAACATTATCTCATACAGCCCTCAAAATCTGTTCGATTCCTGGCACATTTTCAGGTCTACGTTTTATTCTGTTGGGATTTTGGTAGGACGGTACCGTATTTTAAAAGAGAAATGAACTTTTTTTGTTTTTCCCTTTTACACCACCACATTCATTGTCAAGTTATTATCGATGTGACATTTATTATATCGTTTTTTAAAATGAGTTCTCAAGTGTTAAAATGGATGCTTTATGGCAGGGGTGTGCTAAACTTTCCCGCCGAGGGCCACATTAAAAAAAAAAGAAAAAAAGGGGCTGTTAGTCTTCATGTTTGGTTTGCTAAACATGCTAAAACCAGTGCAAATGTAGGTTAAGCTATTTATGCATATTTATCGAACAGGTTATTTATCTTGTTGTGTTATGGGTGACATATGGTAAATTTGTATGTAGCGTTCCAGGATATGTTAGTTCTGTGTGTGTGGGGGGGGGGGGCAGGATTTAGACAATTGTTCTCTAAAATGTCCCCCCCCAACGCATATTCACAAATTCGCCTACGTATGGATTGCACTCGCCAACAGCAAAGTTGAATCAGAGACGGCTTTATGTCTCCCTCAATGTCTTTTACACGCCGATTTTTAAAAAGTATTCGGTCACATTGAAACAATACTAAAGCGGGCCCCTCTTTATCTCTACAACGAACTATCACACTTTTGATGTCATTTAAACATAATGTAATCCTCCTTCCGAGTGCACAGATGTGGCCCATGTGTCATTTTATTATTCTAAAATATATTGCTGATAACAAAAAAAAAATTGTCGCGGCGCACAAAAGCCCCCCCAGAGCCCTTACTGGCTTTATGGTTTTGAAGCACTGCAATTTACATTTTAGTTTCAAATATATATATTTTTTCAAGCTAAAGAAGACACAAGGAGAGATTACATGAAAATGTCAAGTGGCAAAACAACTTTTAATAAGCTGTGTTTTGGAAAAGGCTTTTGTTCTGGTGTATTCATCATAGTAAAATGGCTGTTTACGTACACGTATGTACGTACGCTAATTTAAATTTCACCACTGTTAATGCTAAAAGGAATCACAAACTGAAATGATCATAGGTAGCTGTGTAAAAACAATCCGGTAACCGTGATGCGACAACACTTATATCACGATGGTGTCCGTGGCAGCAAAATCCCCCGACTAAAACTGATGTTTTGGCCACTCGCTAACATGCCAATAGAATTTTTTTATCCAATAGAGAGAAAATTTTAACTCATGAAAAGTATTCTCAAAGTAGTTATGTCAAAACCCTGAAAATTGCATGTCGTGTTCAAAAACTCAAAGAAACAAAAGCTCTCGGGTAGGATGTCCGTTGTTAGTCATTAACGTCTGCGTCCATTGTCTTTTATGCTAGCAACGTTAGCCTGACTGAGTATCTTGTTTGCCGATTGTGTCGGATCCCCCCCGGGGGACTAACTTGCATACTGGTTGACATGAATATTTAACAGACACAATGAATATTTCAAGGTTGGTGTTGGGGGGGGCGCGGGGGGTGTCGTGATCAGGTGTGCGTCAGCATACAGCGTTGCTTCTAAAAACGGAAACTATTTGTTTCATTACTCGCGCAAAAATGTTGACGCTGCGGAGGACAGTCAGGGGCCGCCGCGCACCGAGCAACATGGCGTTCGACAACACGTTTTCATGAGTGGCCAACTGTCAAATACTAGTTTTGCTATGATTCAAAATTGAAATTGCCCGTGAACGAGGGTTTGACGTTGGAACAACCAATCCAAAATGTGGAGATTTTACAAGCACAAGAGATTCAGCTGGCCGCCGCTGTTGGCAAGCCGACCGAAAAAGTATGAAGCAGTATTAGGTATGTATTCGGGGTTTTGGTAGTAATTAACTATATTTATGATTCCATCTACCCGAGGATCAAATAGCGAAGCGTGCGGACTCCCTGTCACCACAACACACGCAAGCTTTCCCGACAA